TAATTAATTCACATGGTCACGAAATCTGAGAGCCTACCGTAGCAATTGGTTTGATGTTTACAAGCGCGTTAAAAGGGCCGCGTAACTGGAGATTCATAGATCTCCTTGGCATTACAACTGATACAGAGTTTACAGAACAGCTTGTATCCTCGATAAGTTAAAAATTAACAATCAGTTTACCGTAATAACAAGAAATGGCTAGCTTATGTCTATTGAACTCCCCCTCCCCCAGTACGTCTTCGCATACTCTTTGTTACAAGTTCAATGTTGTGGCATTTCATTCAAAATAAACGAAACTCTAATATACTGAAGTTCATGGCGAACATATTCTACGATTTATTTTCAAGGCCATCAGAAACAATTTCCTTCAAAGGGCAGGAGCCGTAAAAGCACAGAATACGGTTCTAAATGTCTTTAAAAAAGCCTTCACTATGCTAGTTATCCAAAATATATGCTTAACCAATTCTCGCTCATTTTCAGCAACTGTCCAATATTTTCTAACGGTATCAAGTAAACCAATACAAAAAAACAAATTAAAAGTGGACCGAGGTTTAATCCCGCTGCCAGTAGGAATTTACCACGATATTTCGTTCACAAACCCCAAGAAACTTATCTTTCCCCATGATATATTTATATAAACTCACCAACTGCTAGAGCTTTACACAGCCCGGAATAATACGCCTTGTCAAACTTTGCATAAAAGTGATCCAACATTCCATACAAGTTGTCTATCTGGTGTAAAAGAAATGTAACCATTGATCAGTGACCTCAGGAATTCCAGATCATCTTTTCTCTTACAAAACCTTTTTACTTGATCTACTGATTTCAGTAAATCTAACTAAATTGGAACCTTTTCTCCGTCATTCTGAACGCCCCCAATATCTGTCTGTACGACTTTCTGTCGGGCGAACAGGTTCCCAAAAACTCCAGAACTCACTGATTCGAAAACTATATCCCATTACTCCAAATGCCCCTCCCTTTTCCCCCCTGGGCAAAAAAGGTCTCGGACGAGGGACTAACGTTAGAAACGTCAGCTTTAACAACCCTTTACAGTGGCCCATTTACATTATCAACTGACTTGATAAAACCAAATTACCTTGTTTTACCTCCCCCCGCCAGCACCACCGCTACCAACACAACACCACAGTTTCTATAAAAACTTACCCCTTTTTCCCATAAACCCCTAAGGGTGACTAGCGTCCTTACTCTCCTAACAATACCTCCCCCTCCCCCCTGAATCACAGATCAAGATCATGAGAATAAAGGAGATCATCCCCAACTGAGAAGCTCTTGATTGTCAAACAAATTCTGTAGAAACCAATCCCCCGCTTCGCCCCAGTCCGAGGGTATAAATAGTATAAATAGGTCCACATTCGCGCGGGTTATAAAAAATTGCAAGGACTTCGCTAGTTCATTTTAAGTCGAGAAACGTTAGTTCTTTACGCAGTATTCCCAAACCGTCAGGTAATGTCTCCTATCTTCGCTTGTTTCATATTTCATCATGTGTTATCCGTGTTTCCTATGTCATTTCATTGGTGTAATTAGTTGTTCCGCTCTTAATGTATTATGTCTGTAACCTTCATTCTAGAAACCACTGGCAACTACACGTTTACTAAGAGTTCAAGTTTATTGAATTTCTTGACGTTTTCGAATATTTGCTGGTGCGTTGTTAACAAATTCTCCCTGTCATCACCCTAGGAAATGTATCGAGAACAGTATGGAGAATATATATATCTTATCAATCAAACGCGAGGGCCGTACTGGGAGAATATCGGGGGTCTTGACAGTACGGACCTCACTGCATTCGGTCCGTACAAAAAAGACCAAGGGCCGATATTCTTCCAGTGCGGCCCTCGCGCTTGGTTAATAAGAGATTTATTATACGACTGAAGTTCAAAGGGACACAAGTGGGGTATCATTCGAGACCATTCGGGACAGTGCCCGGTCCAATACTTAGAGAATATTGGACCGGCAATAGAGCATTTTGATTGGTTGATTTTAGTTATTGGCCCTCTGACTGCCCGAGTCGTGTAATAATTTTTGTTACTGACTGTGTCAGGAGGGCGGATAGTTAGCAATGGATGGACCATTACCGAATTAAATCCACCCTCTCATGGAGAATCCTTGAGGCTCACTGTTTGCGTAAAACCGGGGCTTGGGTTAGACCACGTATATATAACCGACCCTACGATTCTGGTAGTGCCGGA